GGAGGGAAAGGCTGGGCTGAGAGGCTCACAAAGGAGGGCAGCACCAGAAGTCCCCACCCCCTGGGTCAAAGGTCAGCCATAGGTATTCCACCTGGAGCTCCCACTCCCTGGGTCAAAGGTCAGCCATAGATATTGCACATGGAGTCCCCAAAATCTTGGCTCTGGGCCTGAGGGCTGATGATTTGGGCACAGAAGGCACACAGTACAAAAGGCCTGGGGTCACGCCTCTCCTACCCACTGGGTCTCTTTGTCAAAGGTCACCTAGGATTATGACTCTTGCATTTCCATAAAGCAGGTAAGGACAGACATTTCCTGCTCCTTCCACATCCTTCCTACCCTGTTCAACATCCCTGATCTGGGAACCCAGCTCCCTCCACTCTGTTTCTAACCCCCAAATCCCAGCCACCCCCTCTCCTAACTGTTTTTTCTTCCTGAGGGGCAAGTCCTCAACTGGCCTGACCTTTTGCACTGCTGCCTCTTACTTCAACTGCTTCCTACCCAGTCCCCGAAAGATCCACCTGGGCCTGGGGAGAAATGGACAGGCAAGGGGGTCAGGCAAGACAGCGAGGAGGACTGGGGGGACTTGGGGAGATGGAAGGTGTCGGTAAGGCTGACTCCAACCCTCACTTCCCCTTTCTCAGCAGAGGAGGAAGTAAGCTGCAGCAGCCAGCCGCTTATCAGTCTGCTGGGGCAAAGGTGCCCCAACCTGGCTCACCCCCTCCTCCTCAGGGCCAGCCTTAGCTCTGTACCCTGGCCATACCCCCACCCCTAGCTTCCTGGCCTCCATTGGCAACCTGTAACTGGCATCTCTTGTTCCTTGAGACAGGGCATTGGGAGGTCAGGGGCTGGGAATTCCAGATATTGCGCAAGCAAGGATGCCCTCTCCCCCAGCAAGAAAAAAAACAAAAAAAAACCTGGACTGGTCAGGGGAATTTTCTCTTCCTGGCGGTGGGTTATTGGCAGGTTTCCAAGATTCTAGGTGCCTGGTATGGGCCCTGCCAGCTCTGCCCACCTCCAAAAGGGAGGGCAGAGAGGTGATTCCCGGTCCTCCGGTCGGGTCCTGGCTGGAGCTCAAAAGCGAGCAGAGAGTTAAGTTTGGAGTTTGGAGGAAAAGTGGAGAATGCCACTTCCAGGGCAGGTGCCGTGAGGGATCATGACAGCGGGGGTGCTCCTGGGGAGGCCCCGAGTTCGCATCGGGACGGGGTGCAGCCCCAGCCTCGCCCCCGTACTCACGTGTCTCCGTCCTCCGAGATGTAAGTGAGCGCTTCCAGCTGCTGCGGACTCAGCGGCCCAGCTGCAGGGAGCGGCGAGCCTGGGGGTGGGTTTTCGGCCTCAGGGCCCCCCCAAAAGGTCAAAGGCTCGGTGAGCGACGAGGAGCCATAGGTGGAGTCGGCCCGCTCCCCATCTGTGTCTTCCTTGTCCTGCGGCTCTTTGGTGGTTCCCGGAGGATGGGTCCAGGGCTGGGGGCCTGTGCCGCCCGGGGGCCGGGAGGCGGAGGCC